AATGCTCAAATAACAAATTTTCAAGCCGTCGAAATGAGGTTTCGGTGGCACGTGAGTGGGACACATGGTCTAAATTGGCCTGGTGAAAGAAACTGTTTAGAAGCCAGACTTTAGGTGCCAAGCGACACCAGCGGTGCCAGTTGGCGCGCACAGACTCCGACACCATTGTACGAGAACGCAAAATGGCAACCTCTCCTTTGCGTATATATTCCCTGGCTGATCTGTCTGATAACAATCGACCAAAAAGGCAAATGTCAGCAATCGCCACGCCTTGGCGGCAAAGTTCACTAGCCCCTGATCTTCTGAATGAATGGGTGGTCAGTTTGATCTCTTCTCCAGCCAGCAAAAGGGCCAGTTTCTTGACCCAGCGCAAAACAGAAGAGTATGACATATCAAACACTTTGGTATCTGTGGCACAAGCCCCGTGCTGTGCCCCAAAGCGACCCAACCATTCAAACACTGTGCCATTGCTAATAACGACTTTTTTGTTCCATGCCGCCTTTGGTTTGCCCCAAACAAAGTGTGACATTGCCGGCAGCAAAGAAAATGTCAGACCATCGCAATTGCAGTGCCTCCCCAACCCGTAACAAGCCTGAGAAACAAACGCAAATGAGAATGCCCAACGGAGCGCGGTTGAGTGCAAATGCAGCCACCATCATCGCTGTAAGCAGTTCTGGGGGGGGGCTGCCGGTGCCTGCTGTGGTGGTTGCAAGCTACCCCACACTTCAAACACACGCCAGGCAGTTTTGTACCGGACACGAGGATTCATTCTGCCCAAAGCAGACAGAACATAGCCATATTCGGTGCGCCCACTGCCTTGTTCATAACCATCAACTAGCCACTCAGCTAAAAACAAATCCTGCTCTGCCTCAGTAAGAGAGGCCCAATCGGTTTGCGTCTGCAAGATCTCACGATTGAGGAGCTGAATTGCTTGTTGGTATTTTTTCTCTGGTGGCATCGCGCAATGACTTCAGCAAGAAAGCTTCGACTCGGTGCCGGCCAAGTCCAAGCCGTGCGCTGCTGGCTAAACCAAGGATCCCTGCCAAAAGAATCAGAATGAACCTGCATGGGTGCATATGGTTGTTCATACCCGTGACTCTTCGAAGCAAGAATACGTGTAACAAACAAGCTGGCCAGCGCTTGGCTCAGTCCGGAGGGATATGCTGTAGCCGCTGTGGTTCTAAAACATTGCCCCGCCGAATCCCAACCAAACAGTTGTGTGTGACCTTGGGTGTGATTACACGTGCGTACAAACTCATCATTCCCATAAGGCAACACTAAACCAGTCGGCTTCCTTGTTTTTTGCTCCAAACATGCATTGATCAATGACATAAATGCAAAGACGAACCATGCTGCACAGCTGTTGGATTTCTGTTGAGCAAAAAAATTGATGGGTATGGTTCGCAACCACGATCAGCCGGATGCTCGCCTCCAACCCATGCCCCAAAAATTCTAGCCTCTCCCAACATACCGATGCAAATGAGTGCTAACGCCGTGCCAATGTCGACTGAGTGGTTTTCTCTTGAAGTCCGATTCGGAAGACAAGACCAAGGGTTCGATCGGGCCCTCAGGGGCCGTGGCCCGACTTGTGCACCTGACTGTCTATGCAAAGGTTTGTGCCGCACTGCTGAAAAAGTAGAGCAAGGCGGTGAAACAAAGAGGCCTGCAACACGTCCTGACTGTACTAGCTGTAAAATGTGTAACATGCTATGCCCATCTAGTAAGTCATTGCAAGTGAATCCAAGATCACGTTGACTCATAGGAGACAATGGATCAACGCGCAACCCGTAGATGTGCAGGCCGTGTTCCTGACTAAGGCGCTCAACCCAGCTCACCAGGTCATCATCTCGTCGCGTTCCTGAACACAAATGCAAAAAGAAACGCTCGTTGCCCGACCATGATGGTAATGTCCGGGAGAGTCCAAAAGGGTCAAGGAAAACTTCTTCAAACGCCTCGGGTTGAACTGGCGACTCTGAGTTGCCCTTGCGCTCGCCTTCGAAGAGACGAGAGGGCTTGTCAGCCGGATTGTCACCTGACGGAATCCAAGGATAAAAAGTCTCATGGCCCCCCTGCTATTCCGATTGCGCACAGCTTCTGACACCGATGGTTCAAAAGCCGACTGGAAGACCGCCCCTTCATAAAAGCCCCAACACAAGAAGCACTATCAAGCGGATGTACAAAACGATGTTCATCATCACACGCGCGCCTCAGCCTGCATTCTGCCACCCACACTGCCGCGTCAGCTTCTCCCAAAAAAAATGTACGATGGCCTCCAGCGTGCACCCGCCGTGTGCCAATGGAAGAGGTTGCGGGGCAGTTTCAACTTACGTAGTGGACACTTGTCTTCTTCGTTCAAGGCTAACCCAAAGGGGAGATTCAAATTCGTGTATGTCCCTGGGTGGTCACAGAGCTGAGCCATTCGCTGCACTAGATCGCTTGGCATGGTGGCCCATGCTCGCCCGATGCCTGACATTGAGGCATCACTGCATTCAACTCTCTGGCTAAACGGCGCTGACAAGTTGAACTGCGCATAGGGCAACAACAATGCGGCTGTCATCAACTCACACCAAATGACATCCGGCAAGGTTGTGACACGCACCTTGCGACCCCGTAGATCATCAAGCCAGCCATAAACCTCCACAAAGATTGAACGCATCACCGGTCGGCTCGAGTGCACGAACCCAAACTTTCCAACCAGTCGTTCAATGTCGCCAACAACGACCGATGGTGAAGTCAGCACATGCCAAACTGCTTGGAAAAGAGCCCTACGTTTCGTCAAACTAACCCCAACCCAATGCAAATCTGGATCAACATAGTAACCCTGTAACTCTTCCCCTGGACTCGCATCAATTGCCTTCTTATGGTTTGGGTGTACTCCACGATCTACCCAAGCCTGCTCCGCCCGCGAGAGCCAAGTAGGTCCGCAAAAGGCCGCCTTCGTCTCCGCCTCAGTATGCTCAAGCGCCCAAATATCATCGCATATGGATCCCCAAATAGGCAATGACGTGGGTGCAAACGCATCTGGATGTAGTCTACAGTCACTAGGTAGGTCAGCCTGGTTAGTTGCGACGTCTGTCAATGCCTGTGCCCAACCTGCGCTAGGACCAAACCCCATAGGTGCTGTGCATGAAGCCGGATACCTCAGACCCCTGCCGAAGTCCGCTATAGGTGGCCCACATAGCCATCGTTGCCACTTGCGCCCAATCCTCAACGAGTGAAAATAGTGGCGAGCGTCTCTCTTCGACACCAGCAGCCTCCCTGTGCGAGGTACCAGGGTTACCCGCAACTTCGGGATATAGGCAAAACGGGGCCGGGGAAGCTTCTGTGGGTCCAACAGCTGATTCACACTAGGATCAGTGATTACCCTGTCCTCTGTCTCGTCCTTAGGCACGGCAAATGCTCCAGCTAGGCATAGGCTACCTCTGTGCTTAGCTACCTGTTTCTCCTTCTTCAAGACATGCAATCCAGCTTTAACATTCTTACGGACTAAGTCAGGATAAGAAGAATTCACCCAAGTGTGTCCGCGCTTGATCCGGATAGGCCTCAGCCTCGATGGAAGAAGAAGCAGCTTCGGCTCCCGGACCTGTTCAGCATATAGCGGAAAGTCCTTTTCAAGCTCCTCAGATAAATTGATTGTTGCAGCCGAGGTTGGCACTCCCCCCCCGACTACCTAGTGGAATGGCTATTCCCCCTCCAGTATAGTGCTGGTTGTGCTTCAAAAACTGACGAATCTCATCAAGACTCATGAGCTCAAAATCCATCATCATGTCTTTGAGCCCTGACCCCAACCGGGCCTGGATGCGTGAGTGGGCAGCTGAGACAAACTTGAATTCAACGTCCAAGCTCCCATGCAGCATATTCAAGGCGGCCTGAATGAGATTCACGCCATGAGCAACACCGAACTCTTCATCCGAATCCAGGGTGCCCATTCTGTACTCCATCACCCGACCATTCTGAACAAAAGGGGGCAAAGGAAAGACATGCGGCATACTGCATCCATCACCTGACTGTGTCAGAAAAAACTCTATTGAATTCGTGTCTCCTCCGAAGCTGTCCCTGGCCCTTGCCAATCCTCCACAAATGAACCCCATAGCTCATCAATGTGTTGTGATGCGCAAAGACCTGCTCCAACCCAGAAAAGATCATGCAAAAAATACTGCAACCCCGAAGATGGCTCACCATTGTGACTTCTCCAGCGGTGCAGCGCTTTCCTGAACCGGCGACTCAATTGGTGAGAGCCAGCATCGACGATGAGGCCAGGCTGGTTCCACTGGGAATCAGTTCGATCGATTCGGCTTTTTCCCAAGACCCTCCTTTCCTCTTCGCCTGCTGGATTGCCAGGATGCGCTGTGCAAGGATGTCCATTGCTCTGGCAATTTCCTTTCGATTGACTGCATCCATGGCCTCGGCTAGGGTCAAGACCTCCCTCACATCTCTCACTTCTGTCAGACCGCTGTGTTGAGCGGCCCATGAGACCACACTGGCCTCCCGCAGCTGACTGCTGCGTTCCACCTTTCCTTTCGAAAGACGAGCGTAGATCGATGCCAGAAAATGTCCTGACAGGGCCCCCCGGATGGCGGCTTGCGTACGCCAGCAACTCTCCCTTGCGCTTGAACTTCTCCGAGTCCACTGCATGCACCTTCTTGTAACTGACCTCGCGGTCCTTGCCTTTGGGCTTCCACAGCAAGGGCCCCGAAGAGCTCTGACTTGAGCTGCGGCTGGATGCACTGCTTCGTGATCGACTCGTGGACGAGCCGCTGGAACTGTCTTTCCTCTTCTTTTTCTTCTTCTTGTCCTTGGACTTCTTTCTGGATCGTTTCTTCTTGGACTTCTCTTTGCTCTGACCTTCTTTCTTCCTGGCCATGTCCTTGAGCTCCTGGATGACATCCGATAGGCTTTGCAAGTTGAAAGCTCCTCCATCTGCCTCTGGGGCCGGCACCGGCCCGAGCGCCCCGACAGCCCCTCGCGGCGCCGCTGCCGAAGCCCCGCCTGCGATGGGAGCGGCGGTGAATGGAATCAAACTCATGCCCCTTCCTGGGATTGTGACCTGACCGTCTTGGACCCCAATTCTCTTCACATGCAAGCCCAAAACTGCCGCCTCTTGCTTCAACGCTGCTGCCTCTGCCACTGTTGGAGCCCAACGCTGATCCACATGTTCTGGCGAACATATCCAGTTGACTGTTGCTGGAGCAATACCCGGAGGTGCTGCCCGCTGTGCTCCTGTCCCCACTGGTGGGCGCAATGAGCCCGCTTCACAACGAATCAACGACCAGATCCAGTCAGAACCGTCCACGTTGGTGCTGCGTGCAATGAGCTCTCCAGAATCCGGTACTAGACCGGCCACCCAAATCTCGTCCCACTCCCCGCTGCGCTCTGAAAGAAAAAAAGCCTTCCATGTACAGGTGTTGACAGGTTAGCCACAAGTGCT